CCATGTCCAGCAAGGCGATGTATACGCATTCCAATGTTCTTCCTGTTCAAGGTATCAGAGCTATCACATACCTAGCCACCTGTCCAGACAAGCAGATTGTTCTGTCTACGCTGTGTTCTTTGATCAACACCACGATCAAATCCAATCTTGGATCATGGCGCCTCCCTTACGACCACGTGGTTCGCAAGGACTCCAAACAGACCCTCGTCGTCTACAGCTTGCAATTCCTCCTCGTTCTCCTGCTGTATCCAGTCCCCGAGAATGGAAATGGTCCAGCGCCCAAGAACTTTTACCGCCATTATCTTGGTCGATTGCATAGACCGGAAGACTTCCAGTTCCTCGCTGACGGCATGACGCGAGTTCTGAGCCAGCCGATGCAAGCTACAACCTCCTACCTACCTGGAAGCCAGAAATCAGTCAAGTGGGCTCCGGAAATGATAATGCTCTTCTGGGAAGTGCTTCAGTGCAACAAAAGATTCCGAGCTTTCATCATAGAGTCCAACCGCGCGCATGACTTCATTATCCTCATGCTATTCTACGCCATCGAGTACAAAACAGACGCGTCGAAGCAGGGTATTGTGAGAATGTGTATCTTTGTCCTCCAAACCATGAGCGTCGAATCCACCTTTGGGAACAATCTCAACAAGAAGTTTGAAGCTCAGGATACATTGCCTCCATCCATTCGTTTGACCAATTTTCAAGGCACCTACGCGGATTTCTTAATCACGTCAATCCATACCTTGATTACAGGGAGCAAGGGCAAACTTGAAGCCATCTACCCAGCCTTGCTCGCCATTATTAATAATATGGCAGCCTACGTACAGCATTTATCTTTGGCGACAAGCACTCGACTTGTACAGCTACTGACGTCAATGTCTACCCCAAGTTTCCTCCTTGCGAACGAGAGCAACCACGTCCTTCTTCGGGCACTACTGGAATCTATTAGCACCATGATAGAGCACCAGTACGCATCCAATGCCAACTTGATTTATGCTGTCTGGCGATCAAGGAAGCGTATCGAGGCCTTACGACAATTCACACTGGAAGGAGGCCAAGCAGAAATTGAACGAGCCGCTCAACGTCGTAAAGAGAGTGCTGTTGGTGATGGTGCAAACAGCCTTTCCAGATCGTCTACCATGGACAATGTGGCCTCGCCGACGACTCGCAGTGGAATGTCCCCCAACCCGGAGAGTGCAGTGGACGGAACATTCGCCATAGGAGATTCCGACGACTCGGAGAACGAAGAGCCACCGACCCCTTCTCAGTCGACCCGATCCATGCAAACTTCCCGGACACCTTCGATAGCCTCGTCGTCTGTGCCTGAAGACCATGTTCCCGTTCAACTATCGGGTATGTCGGAGAAGGCCAGGGGCAAGATGCCCGCGAATGCCCCTACGTTCTCTCGACAAAATAGTACAATAAGCCTCTCAGCGACCTCAACATACGCCCCAGGTCGCGGTTCATTCCAGCCCACTACAGAATGGCTGGAAAGCTGGCTCCCCGACCTGCCACTGCACACCCTCCTCACTGTGATTAAAGTTCTCTCTACACACCCTTTGGCCTCACCACGGATTAGCAACGGGGGAGCGGCTCACGGTGATAGCACAAACCCGCCCTCGCTTGCCTCCTCGCGCCGCTCATCGCTCACCGGAGCTGACGTGCCCTCCATCACGAACTCCCCCACTACAACGCTAAGCGACTTCCGCTCTCAAATTTCCTCCACAGCCACGCATCCTGCAATTGCCGCGATTCTTGCTTCCCCTTCCCCCATCCGAGTGCATCTGTTCGAATGGTCGCCGCTCTCCCTAGGCTGGTACATGTCCGTGCTCTGGTCTTTGATCTTCACAGCGGAGATGACCATCTCGCCCACATCCAGCACGGCGGCAACCTTGACGGGAAGCGGAGTCATGGCCGGACCGGTGGGCGTTTGGAATGGGACAAACGTGAAATTGTTTCAGGTTGCGACAGAGGGGAGGAGAGAAGGACCAAGCTTAAGCCAGCCGAGAGGGGCGGTGGATGCTGTGGGTAGTAGGATTGTGCAAGGGGTTCAAGGGTTGAACCTAGGTGGTCTGGTTTCTCGAGTAGGAGGTGGAGTGAGAAGTGTCAGTGCTAACAATACCACCGACGGTGCTTTACAGGGGAGAGGCACCACGAGAGAAGTCTGATCCAGCCTTACATTTGCCATCCTTGGAGCCTAGAAGCGGGCTACGTATCTAGTTAGAACAGGCGTTCTGCCTGCCGCGGTATGTGGCGTTGGGGGGAAGACAGGAGATGCCGTTCACGGCGACAGCGACGGCGTTGTAGAGGTAGCTTTTGGAGCATGGGCCCCCCGTTTCGCGTTCCTTTTTTCCATGCGCACGGATGTTGGTTTGTGGACGAGCGAATACTTTTAAGTATTAGGCCTGGCTACTTATCAAGTATGGCGTCTGGCGTACGCACGCGGTCCCTTTAATTGCAAGTCGAGCTATCTTCGTGGATGTGAAATGCTTGTTTTGCTGGAGTCGGTTCTGGAGGCCAGAACCGAATCTGTGTGTAATCTGTCTTCGCTTTGCGTAATGCAATGGAATGTCGAATGTTATCACTGTCACTACGAGTGAGGTCACGGCTTCAATGGGAAAGTCAGACGCTCTGCACGGAAGAGAGAACATGGCTTTGTAGAAAGGTAGGATCCATGCCCTCAAAACTGCGTGCTCTATACGTACACAACCAACACTGCACCCGCTCAACCTCAGAAGCCACCGAAAGAATCGCTCTTGGGTAATTTCTTGCCCTTGTCGTATAACCATTTATAATTCAGCCCTGGCACGGCCTGTGAAGCTCTGGTGGGGGACGTTGAATTCGGTTCTAGGCTCTCCCGTCTTGATCTCCTTTCACGCATACTCTGTGATCGACTTAGGCCCGCAGCAGCAGCACCACCACCACCACCACCACCACCAATGATCGCTCCAAATGAGGAACGAGTACTCCCGCTTAATTCGGTGTCTGGGATTTGCGAGGATTGACTCTGACTCACGGCTTTGTGGAATAGAGGGCTGGCGGTCGGAGAAGGGGAAAATGTCGATCCAGAGGCCGTGCGACGGAGGGATTGCGAGGGCGTGGGGGAGAAGCCGAGGGTATAGCGGGATGTGGACAGAGGTGATGAAGAGTAGTTGGCAGATATACTGCGACGATCGGTGGAGGCGGAAGGATAACCGACTTGAGGGCTCGTTGTGGGACTCCCGCCGAAGGAGGAGCCAGAAAGACGTCGATAGCGCGGAGGAGTAATGTAGCTAGCTGCAGAGCCAGCTGGACTCTGACCTGGAGGGGCGGACGGTTTCAGACCTAGGAGTGACCGTTGAGATGGTGTCAAGGGGATGTCTATGATTTGGTCTTTCTTGGAGATGTAAGGCATGACAGGCCTGAGGAAAAGGATTATGTTTAGGCAAAATAGAAGGCGGATGATGAAGAGGGCGGTCCGGGAGATTTGGGAGGGGTCGGCGATGCCACTAGATTTGAGCAGAGGGGGAACACTGGGCGAATGGTCAATCATGATTATTTGGAACCCCTGGCTTGCAACATACCTGCTGTAGTAGACATCGCTGCAGATGAATGTTAGAAGCAAGGCAGCAGTATTGGTCACGGCACCCTTGACACTCCTGTCCGTAAGTGCTGTGGCAGCATTCCGCCTCAATATTTCTGTTGTCTTCGGGTGTCTAAACCTTCCTGGAGTGGATGGAGGAGTAGGAAACTCGGTAGGTTTGGGCGAAGACTTCGAAAGAGACGAGCTGAGATTCTGTGGTTTTCCAACAACATTGCTTGGGGCACTTGTGACTGTTCTCGACACTTGCGACGCGGTCTTCTGTGTGGTTTGAAGAGCGGCGTTGTAGCTAGGCCTCATAGGAGAAGAAGAGGGAACCAGGGAGGTAGCGGTTGTTGACATGACGGGCAAACCAGCTGCGCTTAGGGACTTAGCAGAGTTCTAATCAGGCCCTGAGGCCCTGGGGGTCTGTTGACACTTACCGAGACGAAAAAGAGGACGAATGACTTACCTATCAAAGTGTCAGCTTAGCATTGTTGTCGTGTCGTAACCGTCGTGGTGAGTTGTGGCTGTCGTCGGTTGAAGTGCATGCTTGACTTTCTTTGTTGACTGTTTCCACAGTTGGATCGGCTAAGTTTCTACAAACGGCCCCCAGCATTGGACCTTTTCTCTCCACCCTTCACCATCCTGACCATCTTAGCTGCTTTTCAGCACCAAGTGCTCGATAGATACAAGCCAAATCGCTCTTAGAGCCATAGGAATCTTGAAAGTACGTTGGAGACTACTGCGAAAATTCGCAATGTTCACCACATCCGCCGATTTACAACTAAGCGCTTGCAAATGGAGGCTCTGTCGCCTCCATGCCCCTGACCATGTCTTTGTCGGTCTCGACGGGCTTATCTCTTACGCATTGATCTGAGGGGGTGCATCCTTTAGACAGGGTATCTGTAAGTATTCAGTGCGTGCCCGGGACGAGGTAGGCAAAGAGGAACACGAGGAGGGATATCATAAGAATATACTTGAGGCGAATTGTTCGATGAATAGGTAGGGTGGAACGGCCCTGTATATCAGTAAGGGCTTCATGACCACCACGATACTGTTATATGAGCGGAGGCTTGTAAAAGTTAACAGCTTATTGATAGGTTTGAGGGGAGGGGTGATCTCCTGTGTGATAGTTCTATTTATTCCAGCTCAATCTGGTCAGCCAGAGCCTTTACCTATCAATCTAGTATGGCTCGTCTTTGTCAATGATTTTCAGCCGCGCTGGATTCAAGTCATTGCCTCACCTAAGGAAGGAATATCGGGCAGATCGCAAGGCAGATTGGTTTCAGCGAACACGATTCTATGCGAAGTGCCTGTGCAACCTTCAGCCTTGCTTTGTTGTCATTCTTGCCTTGGCGGCACCTGCATCTTCCCCGAAAATCTTCTGGGTACAGCCTGGTCTTCCTTTCATGTAATGCCATCTTCTGATACTTGATACAGGATGGAGCAAACCACCGGATTCAGGGAGTCTCGTCTTTCAATTGGTCACAAAAGACCAGCTGTCGAAGATGTCGACCAAGGTGCGACAAGGTCCAAGAAACACCACACTCTGCCTGACGATCACCATTATGCGACGAACATGATATTTGATCAAGATTCTTTCAAATGGGATTCTGGAACTGGAATTTCATACGGTGCCCGAGAAGGATCAGCAGTCCATACAGGGTTACTGCCTCTTATCGACACGTCTACCAGTCTTCCACCAAATGATTCATGGTCATTTGACGGCACTGGTATGGACGTTTTCAGGCAAGAGGAAATTTTCACATCAGAAACATTCAGTGTATCAATCAACGATGGGATATAGTCCGACTCAACGCCCTACTATGTAGAGACGCTAGAAAGTTGTTTCCAAACACCTCCTCCACCGACACACGGTGCTTTGCCTGGATCTACACCGCTAGAGGGAGAAAATTCCAGACGTTCAGCGCGAGTCCAAGCAATTATGAGAACCATTCAAGTTAGTCAGGGCCTCTTTTGTTGCTGTCGTGATTCTCACATTAAACTAAGGTTCAGGCACATCATCACTGGACCTTGGAAAGACGCGATACGATGCTTGCTTCGGGGTCGTAAGACGACATTCCCATCGTTGTGGGTTCTTGATCTGACTTCTCTTACAGATTGTGACAGATGTTATATCTTCCTTCGTCCCCCAGAAGGGAAATTGCACAACACCTGTCCTACTCCGGCCGTATGGGAATATATACAAGCTCTACCTTGAAGACTCGAGCAAGTATGCTGGCATTCTGGAGTTGCCTCGCCTTCACAATTTACTCCAGGGGTATGCTTTTGCAGCAAGAGGATACCTGCCCGCAACTCCTGTCGAATCAAGGATCACCAAAGCACGGAAGGCTAAGAGTCATATCCTCAGCCGCCAATGCTCGCTGCGCATCATTGTTTATGGACTCAAGTGCGAAAAGGATGCTGTCAGCCAATTTCTCTCAGGTGCTGGCGTGTTCCTTCAGCAGCCTTTGGTCAGCGAATGGGAACCAGAGCCAGAATACTGTAATCCTCACTACCTTATCCGCCCCGGATACCAGTTGCCGCCGCTGGAATAATCGACAATATCGCCTGGGAATTCCATCACCAAAGGTTCTGAAATACTGAACGAGACCGACAAGAGCACAATCATGAGGACATTTGACTCAGCTACTGATCTCCAGGTCCCTAGCGAGCTCGTTCCCAGTCCACGCCTTCGGACAACCTTAAAAATTTAGTAGAAAACCCCAATGTACAGTCAGAACCTAATGGGTCTGCAGTCACCTGCTTACGGTGGTCTCTGCCATGATCTGGAAGGAGTCTGATACCATCCAGAATGCTCCAATACCATCAATCTGGGTGTTAATATCTCAACCTAGCGGACCGACCAGGTTAGTAAATGCGTTTATGTGAACGAACGACGCCGGACTGACATTCGTGATTCAGATACCGTCACAAAATCACTGGGCAGCGCCAGGAGAACTCAATTGCTGGGCGAGGTGGTTGCCTTACTGATGTAAGTTCTCCGGATCTCTCTTCACATGTTTGACCGATAATCTAGGAAGGAGATGGGTCTAGGGAAACCATTGAGCGTTCTAGCTTTGATCTGTTTGTCCCTTGATAGGCTCAATGATCAGGATATCTGTATGAGGAAAGATACTCCTCGTGCGACGTTGATTGTAACACCGAAATCCAGTACGTTCATGTTGTTTCGGATTTCTCGAGAATTCGCAGTTGATATCATTCAGCAATTCCTGGCTGGCTTCAACAAATCAAAGGTATGCCGTACAATACAATGATTGTTTCTCCTCAAGCAGACCTGACTAGATTTCAGACATGTTTGCAAAGATCAATTGCGATTTGCAATATATCACGGATCAGACCGCCAGTGCCTGTCCTCGACTTTTGAGGATCTAGACGTAGTATTGACAACGTATGAAACACTGCGGTCTTATTGGAGTGGTAACGGTGCACTCTATTCGATGAAATGGTCCAGGCTTGTTCTGGACGAAGGTTGGCTACGTGGCGCAGTCATTCATGGCAAATCGTTACTGACTAGCTGGCAGCACGCCACATTCGAAATCGTTCTTCTCAGATAATATTCAAGGCCGCTTGCACCATTCAGTCCCAACACCGATGGAGTCTGACCGGAACACCAATCCAGAATTCTCCTGACGACTATGGGGCGCTTCTGGGTTTTCTTCGGGTGCCACTTTTCTCGGACAAATCCAAGTTTAATTTCTGGATTGCGAATCCTCCCACAGGAGAGAGAAAATACAGCCTGAAAAGGCTTCAAGATGTCATCCGGTGTACTAATTGTACAATATTGTTAAGGAGAGATGCGCGAGACTTGCCAACGGTGAAGCGACGACCGAGTCCGACTCGCCTAAGGATAAGGCGTACAGGGAAGATAATGTGCTCTCTTTAATCAACTTCCGGCGCCTGATCTGCGACCATGGAGCAAATCTTCTACCACAACCCGCTTTGCGGGCTTGGGCAGCAGGAGACAGCCAATCAGTCGATTCCAACACGATGCGGAGTTCCAGGAAGATATGTTGCATCTGGAATGCAGATATTGAAGTGGCTGATCGTGTCACATTTCACGGCTCCGAAGCCGAATGCGGGCATTGGGTTTGTTCAAATTGTGCCTTAGAGGTTGGAGATGGCAAAAGAAACGCCGAGAGTCGGTGTCCGAAGTGTGCATTACCGTTCAGTCACGGTGGCCATCGCGGCTTACCTGTTCCGACTGACGCTCTTGTATGGCCCTCGGCGAAAGTAGAGGCCCTCCTGAGGCATCTGCGTGCTGAACAGAACTTTGGGCTGCTTGAGATGTCGCCCAAGCCCTTCAAATGGTACCGAATAATCTCCTTCGTCATTATCTTTCGGCTCATTGCTGTCTAGTGTCGTGTTCAGTTATTGGACGAAAATGCGGGATTTGATCCAGAAAGCCCTTCACAACGAAAGGATCGGCGTCGCAAGAATAGATGGGAAGTCAAGTCTTGAAGAAAGGGGCAAATCCATCCTTCAATTCAACACCGATCCGAGGTGCACTGTACTTCTCGCGAGCATCGGTACCGTTGGGGAAGGGTAAGCTAAGCTGGGCGAGAAACACATGGAACTGTATAGGAACCTGACACTGGTTATTCGCTATGGTGGATCTCACTGTCGCCAATTATGTGCACCTGATCGAGCCGCATTAGAATCCTATGGCTGAAGTTCAACCTGTGGACCGAGTGCACAGAATAGAACAGGACCGAAAAGTCGTGGTATCCAGGTATATCGTACCGAATTCTATCGAGACGGGAAGGGAAAGAAAAGATGCAGTCTCTCTGGATGGGTATGCTAACTGTTTGCAGTATATTCAATGGGTCCAAAATGAAAACCTGAAAATCATCGACCAATCAATCGACCTGAAGGATTTATCGCCAACTGACACAGAAACTTATCACTGGGGGGTTCAGTCAAGCCAAACCCACTTTCCAGGGAAACAAACTGACCATGAAGTCAGAAACTCGTGTCCCTTTTCTTGTCTTGATTCGATAGCGGAGAGCGGAGGGTACCACCTTCTTGCAATAGCTATCACTCGTCGCGGCTTCATCAACGCGTTGATCCCGGTTCCGCCAAACCCCAGAGCCGGCCCAAATAGACGCTCATGTTGTAATGACCTTTCCCGTACCTGCGGCCACAGAGGGTTGACCAAGACCCAGCTTCTCCGTTGCTCTTCGGTTTGGGCAACAAGCTCTTCCCAAGACATTCCAAGCCACTTTGAGATCTGCTTTGATCCTCTCTCCTTGCTGATCGATGATACCAACCTGGGCTCTGGCCCACGAAGCAAAAGATACTTCATCATTTCTGCACCTGCCGCAATTGTGTTTCGAGCCACGCGGTCAAGTGGAGAGAGAGACTTGGGGCTCTTGCGCCACGGGTTTACATCGCAGCCGTGGTCAATGAGGTATTTGGCGAGTTTGACGGAGCATGTCGTTTCGATGACATCTGTTAGAGATTCAATAAAGTAAGGACCTCTTGATTTGTGAAAATCAACCTTCTCCCAAAAAGCAAGTAACGTGTTCTCCCTATAAGGGATCCCCACAGTGGCTCTTATCGCAGCCCTGCAAACGCACCGGTTTTAAATCCGGGGTTGTCGCGATATCGTAGACGTTCGGCAACAGTGTGCGTTTTCCATTCTGCGTATATCTCCTCTGATTCCGACATTATTACTCCCCTTAGAACAGAACCTGACATAAAAGAGGGAAGGCTGAAACAGGGTTGGAAGTGTCTGAATACCTGGACATTCGTCGCTCGAGCAGCGTATTCCAGAAGATCGGCAAGTGAGAAGAAATGGTCGCTCGATTTATCATATCAGCCATGGGCACTGAACCACATGGGGCTGCATATTCGTTTCGCCTCTGTTGAGTTTCCTGGGGAAGCGTCTTCATCTGACTCTCGAGGCTCCGCACTGCTTCTACATTGTCTGTTGTTATTAGGTCGAATAGGAGAGTCTCGAGCTCGTCCGCATCCGTGCTACCAAATTCCGGTGGTGCTTGGGACTTCCGCTCGACGTGATATAGATCGAGGTGGGCGTCTCGCATCTTGCGTGAGACGGACCCTCCCTCTGCGAATTCGCAGCCTCTGTGGCTACACTTCCACGGGCGGTCATGGTGCTTCACGTGAGCTCTCTGTGATGACAACGATTCAAACCCTCATCGATAGGAGGGGCAATTCAAGACAGGACACTTGAAAGGTCGCAGGCCATAGTGTCTTCGAATGGACCTGCAATGACAGTTCTGATGCTTGCTGTCTTTAAAGGAGAACTGCTCTATTTGGTAGTGAACGCGTACAGAAAGGTCTGATATAGTCAGAGGGTCGAGGTCTGTCCAATCTGAACCTAAGAAACTCCGTTAGCTCACGTAACTGAATGCATACTTTTTCGTGCGGGTTTGTCTCTATACGTTGATTGATATTGAGATCACTTTTCCTGCAGAGCTGGTAGAATTGGAGTGCGCTCCATCTCATACAGCACTGGAGACCTTGATTTGAGGACTTTCAAACTCGGTTGCTCGCCTTCCTCGTCGTCGGCAGTGAATGCTTGCGAGCTTTCAAGGACATCGATCAGGGCATTAGGTAGTTGGCTCTGCTTGTTCAGGTCAATGTAACACTCAACAAGCTCAAGCCACATCGCTGCAGCAAAGTTTTGCAGTCGGTATAATCCAGACAAGATGTTGACTTCTAGATCCTGGTCCGTCAGACCGGATTGATGGTGTCTCTGACAAAAATATGAGACGCAGCACTTCGCTAGGCTTAAGGTCGCCTCTGCTAGTTCAATACAGCCGTGGATCTTGGGACTGAAGAGGTACCTATGACTATTCAGTTCCACTACGGTTCTAATTGATGTCGCCTTGCAGTGGGTCGTCGAGACTTACTCCTTCGCCGTGAAGTGAACGAATTGAACATATTCGTCAACTTCTTCCATGATAGGTCCGCATTTCCTGGGCAAGTCGAGGCCTGGCAATGACCTTGCCATCGCTGTCAACACCACCACGGCCGACGACGAGAGCTTGCTCAATCTCGGGAACCGTGAGAGGTACTGGAGTACAGCCAATCCAACCAAGAATTCTCCGCACCTTCTCCTTGAGTGGAGCGTGAAGTCGATTTATACGGGCAAGGATGTTGGCATACCTTTCAAAGTTCTTCAGGAAGACTTCTCTCAAATCCGATCTTTTTCAATCTTACGCTACGTCCAAGTTCTCTGGAAGAACCGTCAACTCTTCCCTGAACTGGCTCATATCGTCCAGGGAATCCATGTTTGTCAGGATTACTTCCGCATAAAGAAACATGCCTTCCACAATATCAGTTATCACGCATTTTCAACGAGTCACGATGCACCTTTGGCCTTGGCCGCGAGCGGTGCCAATAGAAGCTCGATCTCAGCTCGCGCCTCAGGCAAGACGTTTCACTCAGAAAACCACTCTTGAGATCGTTGGTGCACAAATGTCTGGGTGCGCTCAGTTTTTCGATTGCTCACGCGTATGGACGTGACACCTTTCAGCAAGACCGCAATATCCGCGTCGGCCATGATGCTGATCAGGGCCTTGACCTCCTAGCAAGCCTTAGAAAAACTAAGAAGTTCTTTCAACAGGCGGCAGCGCTCCCGCTCGTAGATTTCGTCCAAGCCGTCAAGAATGATATACGTACGTCTGGCTCAGCCTAAAAGCTTTTTCAACATATCGATAGCAGCATCGACACTGCCCTTCAGCTCCTCGTGGTTCGACCGACACACCACTTCTTCAACATCGTCCTGACCCGCTGACAGCTGAAATATGAACGAATGCAGAATAGAAAGCGTCGAGAGGGTACTTCGGAGTCCTTCAGTCAGAAAAGCATAGACCGTTCTCGTCTCCTGGGCCTTTTTGGTCTCTTAAACAAGAATGCGCGCGAGAAATGTTTTCCCTCTTCCCCGGTCCTCTTAGTTTCCAGAGGCAAAGTCTTCTGGTGAACCAAATGAGACACAGGCGCACTCTTCCCTCTCTTATACTTAGAGTCGTGTACAGTATCGACCATATACTATAGGGGTGCCTTATATACACACTTATCGCTAGATTCTGCCCACTTGCCAAGGGATCCCTAACACCGAGGAGGAATTGAAAGATAAGCTCGTCTGATTACTCCTCGTGTCTGAGCACATGAATTCGGCCGAATCGACCATTATCTACGGAGAGAGCACTATCGTCATCTCGCTCCTTAACCGGCCACTCGAGCCGGACGGGCTGTCTCTCTCGCCTATTATAACGACCATTTTTCGTGCATCATCGGCCAATGGGCTCTCGCGCTAGCTACTGTCGCCGCTAAGAACTGGAACGCTTACTTCATCTGTTTCTGAATATCTTTCTCGATCTTCTCTCACTCCTTCCTTATTACCTCCACGAGGGGAGCTAGGGCCTAGGCTCAGCAGCAGCTTCACCTGCGGATCGAGCGCTTTAGTACGCGCCTCAGCTCGCGCCGCGCGCTGCTAGATACTGTCATCGCTCTGAACCCTGACACCTTCCCTCACAATGATACGGCCGTCACCGAATGGGAATTCTGCCGTGAGGGTATGAAGTGGATTGATCCTATCCTCGCGTCGTCGGAAAGCCGCAAGAAGTGGGAAGAGGCTACGCAGAAATCCATGCAATTGTTCGATGAAAACCCGACAGGCCAAGATTTACACTTAGAAAAGTGCAAGGACAGTCACAAAATGGGTGGGTTTCTGAACCACGAATGGCGTCAAGCCTATCGAGACTACTGGAAACGCGCTATATTCCTGAGGGTATTTATGTCGCCTCTTTGATAAGGAAATCTGGGGATCTTCCTAATTTCAAGGTCTCCGCCAATTCTCGTGCTGGCAGATCGGAAGTTTGAAAAGGCTCTGTTATTGCGCAAAAATTGGGTCCTCCCAAAGTGCTGTTCCATACAGAAATCTAACCCCCTGTGGAAATGCCTCCTCCTATATTCCATCAAAGAGCAGTTGCCCAATGTACCCTCGATATTTTCCATGCCAAAATAGGCAATGGACCAAAGCTCTGAGTTCTTGTCTGCTGAAAAACCGGCAAACTCGCGGAATACGCAGAGACTCGGGGTTGCCTTTTAGAAAAGCAAGCTGCTGTGCACTGGCTTCCTGGAGTGTTCCGCCCAGTCCGAACTTCACGACGGCATCAGCGGCTATTCTGACCACTTCGCGCCCACTCAGTCTGTGGCTTCGAACGTCAGCAAGATTCTCATCACCGTTGTGACAGCTGGATAATCTCTCCGTTACCAAGAACGCAAGAACCCATGAGGCTGAACGAAATTGGTCGATGTTTCTCCGGAAGACGGAGGCAAGCGATCAACTTGGAGGCAGAGCGGCGGTCTGCTTGGCGGCATGCCCCCTGACTGTTTAACTATTTATTAACGAGTTAGGCCTCTTTTGAAAGTGAGAGGCTCTAAACTCTCCGAGCCACGGGGAGAGGTCAGGGCCAAGGCCTTGGATATTGATCGCCCCGTCAGACGACCTTCTCCATATTGGCCACAAGATATTCATCCAATCCAAATTTGAGAACTTGTAGGATCAGAAGTAGCTGTAACGTTACTCTCGCCCATTGATCCTCCCCCCTGTATCAAGCGAGATAATCCAGGTGGCGGTAACTTGACGCATCAATATTGACCCATTGGACAATGCCCAGCCTTGTCAAGCCTTGCCGCTTGCTTTTTCCACCAATGATCGATCTTTCCCCTTCGCCCTCATAACCATATGAAGCTCAAGACAAGTCTGAAGCATGGCACGACCAAAGTAAGAAGGAGGACGGTACCAAATATACTCCAAGGATCTGACTGGTCGCAGATGTTTTGTGAGCGACCAGGGGAGCGGTAACCCCGGAGAATCACTCCTCTTGACATATCGAGATTTCCAGAAGACATTAGGACCCAGAAAGCGGCGAAAGACAATACCAGGGATCCTATCAATTTGGCAACAAGGCTGTGGCTCTCATGTGCTCGGCTAATAGCAAGGACTCCCAGTCGTTGGGTTAGCAATACTTGTAGGCCGTAGATGAGAAACCCTTGGATGTATTTGGTGCGCAGAGATGGCCTTTTTGTCATTTGCTGGGGTGTCGTCGATGCGTTCCTCTTGGATGCAACTCGAGGATCTGGAGCTTCGGCGGACGACCTAGGTTTATCCGCATGTCCTGTTGTTATTGTTGCATCGTCCGCCACCATGTCGTAGTCTGCGGATGAGGCATCTCCGGCCTCCAATAGTTCGTTTTCGATTTCTTTTGTGTCTGCGGAATCATCGGGGGGGAGTGGGAAGCTTTCAATCAAGGCCTGCATTCGGAAGTGGCAGGCATAGGCGAGAACGAAGATGAGAAGAGGATAGATGGTCGTGATCCACAGAGTGGGATTCCGAGAGTCATCAAGCCAGCCAGGCAGAGCCATTGCTTGTACAAGGCCGATCGAGCGAGGTTGGGAATTCGAAAGAATCATGAAGGGACAAAGAGAGGGAGGAGGGAGGAGGGAGGCGAGGAGAGTAGACACCAACGAACTCATCTCACTTCCTCTAAGATATGCGCATGCCTCATTTAACGCTGGAACTGCCTGGGCCGTTCTCAATGGCTTCCTGGACCGCCTTTTGGCGCTGCGAGAGGCCCGAGTCAGCCTCAGCGACTCATTGGTCGGCAGCAGCAAGCGCCTAAGCAGGGCCACTAACGCCATCTACACAAGGGTCGGTTGCTGCGCCTTGTTGATTTATGTTGCCTTGGTAAAGCCTTGCAAGAGATGCCCCGGCCCAAATTCCCCCTTCCGTCGCTATAGCACACTGGCGATCCCCGCCTAGCGCGTCTCGCATGTCTCGCATCAGGTTCATTCCACACCCGGTTGACCGTGGCTCTATTGCTGTTGCCATTGTCGTTGCAGCCTGAATGGCTCAGGAGGTGAACCAAATAAGCTACGAGGGTCGGCTAGGCAAGGGCCTCCTGGTCCTCCAAAGCGCCCCTCAGCGAACATATGCTGCCAACAGGGCTCCTTTGGTATACGACCTCCGTGGTAGAGGACATGGACCTCTCTGGTCGGAACTTCCACATCACGCACTCTTTCTGCTGGAGAGAAACACCATTCTAGCCTTATATATCATCGATTTCCTTGTCCGACATAGATGGTGTGGTTTAAACATGTTCTTTAACCTTACCAGCTGAGGTTGAGCAAAGACGCTACAGATGTCTGCCTTGCGACTACCATTGGCCTCAGGGATAACCAGGCGGCCCTCCAAAGCCGCCGTACTTCGACACAACCATCACTTGAGACGTCTTTTTGTCGCTGTAGGGGGGCAGAACCACATTGAGCTATCTTTAATGGAGACCACCAGCACAAATGTTGAGGTATGTAAAGCCGTCAACCGTTCAGAGATCAAATAAACCTCTCGCATCAAGACACAGAGCACACCCAGAAGAAGAATACCAAGAATCCACCAGCTCAGCCCAGATTGCAACTGTCCTTCCGCGTCCAACTGGCAATCTAGTTGGAATAAGACATGACGTTTTCCACACTTGCCCTGGTTTTACTTACTTGCCTGGTGTTGGGCACCGATGCATTCACAGTTTCGTTCTACAAGAACACAAATTGCGCCGGCGAATTTCTCGGGACATGGGTTGGGGGAGAGGGACAAGGTTGCCGGCACGAATATGCGTATGTGCTCATGCAATCAAAGTGATGTATTGACTGCTAACACATGATACTAGCGGCCTAGCTGAAGGCGTGGTTGTTGAGTCTACCGGTTCGGTCGATGGCTCGACCATGGCGCAATTTGATAGCTCAGATGACAGCGCCCCAGGAACAGAGATCAGTCGGGCTAACGCTGGATGTATCACGGTGGACCAAAGCGTCGTCGGATCATACAAGTCATTCCAGGTTGTACCCATCACCGCACCGGCATCATCATCTTCTTTGTCCGCACGCCACTCTCCTAACCAGCGACGATATCCTTTCCCACTTTCGCCTGAGCCCAGGGCGACTCTGCCAACCCCACAAATATATCACGGAATGCAGGTATCGTTCGACGGCGCCGAATATAAACTGCATCAGATCTATGCCAATGCATACGTTGGCATTCTACCTGATGAGTGGGATGACTCCATCCACATCAGGAACGATACCAACTTGGCCTATTACGAGCTTTTTCCAGGCCTCATGAGCCGAGAAGTGGACGAGCGTGATTTGGCCGAAGCTCTTTGCAATACATTCGCCTCATGTGTCTCTACAGCAGTAGACTTAGGCGTTCGGATCAAAGATGCCCTCCCTCCGTTGATAGCTTCGCTGAAAACAGCAGCACAAGCGCGTTGACAAAAGGTGTTTGAATTCTTGCAACAACCTTTCTTCACCCAGGTCGCAATCGGTGAGTTTTGTTCACCAGCACTCTTCTGTTCATCCAGTGATCGAATGAGACCGTCTGCTAACAGAGGGGAAATGCAGATACCGTTGCCGGGCTGGTTCCTGAGGCCGTCGGAGGCGTCGTTCAAGCTGTCGTAGGAGCGCAGGTGGCAGGCAACACCAACAATGCCGCGGCTTGCTCTCAACAGAATGACCAAATCGACGCCCTTATATCGATCATCAGTTCTCAGATATCTGCCCTGTCGGCGGCGTCGGCAAAGATCACTGCTCAAAAGAACGACGCCGGGGACGAGGTCTTCACTGTCACAGTGACCGTTACGGCGTGCGGCACGACCCTTGGATCGGCAGCCTGCAGCGCCACCGGCGGGTTCTGTCCTTCATAGGGGCCGGGTGTTTGTATTTGTCTCTATTTTGATAGCTTAACCGGTACATGCGTCATTCCCATAACAGAACTGCTTTCACCGTCTTGCCGCTATGTATATCACACGCTGCCTTCTCAATATCCCTTCTCAATATCCCTTGTCGGGTATGTTCTGATCAATTGATCATAAGGAAACTTCCCCTCCTCATTGGCCTCGAGGAGCATGGGCAAAATTTCCTGTGGGTAGCAGTCTCCCTGGTTGCAGTCAACGTAAGTGCAGCCTGCATTTACCGTCTCGAATATATTGAGCGATGTCTCTGCGGAAAGCTGAACACCTTTTGTTAGCATGGCACAGACTCAACTGAGAGAGAGAGAGAGAGAAGCATACATCGCCAACACCAACGGTAACAACCTTTCCCTTTCTTGCCCTAGCATGGATCAGCTCCTTCACCACCTCTGGCCTACCCGTTGTGTCTATCGCACCATCTACCCCTCTCCCGTGAGTGATCTCCATCAGCACCTTCATGAGATCCGGGCGGACTTTTGAGTTGACTCCATGCGTGACACCAAAGGAGCGAGCCAGTTCTAAACGCGCCAGAACTATATCCACGGCGATGATCTTCTTTGGGGGCGATTCGAGCGTGTTCAGGGCCATGATTGCCGATAATCCCACAGCCAGTGTGCCGACCACAGCGACCGCCATATCGTGCGTTGGCCTGACGACATTCAGCATCGCTATTCGAAGTAAGAAATAACCCCTCCAAGCATATACGCTTTCCTTCGCACTAGGTTCATAGGGGGCGGGCTCGGGCTCTTGAGGTTCATGTAGTACTTACCCCTAGCTCTCTGTCATCACGGCACACCCCAGAGCCGCCAACCTCTCCCACGTTAACCCCCTCTCCCCAACCTTGACCAACCCATTCTGCGCCACCAAAACATTCCTCGCAAAGCTATTCTGCCCGAAGAAATAGCTCGCAATGCGCCTCGCCCCCGGGGTCCGAAAACACCTTGGACCCATCCACCCACCCCACCCCAAAATTGTACTGAAACCACACGTCGCAGTACGACGACTGCTTACGCAGATAGTACTTACACTCGCCGCCGCACGAGAAGACCATCACGAGGTGATGGCCCGGCTCGACCTTGGTGACGTGCGAGCCGATCCGTTGGACCACGCCCGTCGTTAGCCGTGTGACCGGCCTCATAGACGCCTCCGCCCGGTCTGAAGTTGGCGCTCCGCCCGCCCGACGCGCCGTAGATGTTCGCAATGAACTCGCTCGCGCTGTTGCGATGAAATACGGCAGACGGAAGCTATTCATGGCGACGTCCCAGCGCGGCCCGAACCAGATGAAGTAGTCGAGCGGCACGTTGGGATCGCGCGAACGTGCGGCCAGAAGCGTCCAGATTAAGGATCCGTATGGTCGACGAACTTGGTCATATCGTACTGCAAAGCGGGAACACACGCTCAGCATATCTTGGGTGACAGAAGTCTGGGGAGTTCGGGGCGAGGGCAAGGCTGACAGAAATCGGTGTATCATTACATACCTTGTAAGGCAAGCAATTGCCGTGCCACGCCGCAACGTCAAATGGACTGTGGTCCTGCATCAAGACATGGTACTCCCCGCTGATCTTCTCCACGACATGCCACTGCTGATGTAGCTCCTCCGGATCGTCCATGCACGCGACAGGATACGCAAAGTCCCGCGCGTTCGCATCTCCATATCCTCCGATCGGGCCCAGGTCCGGCAGCTCGAATCGGGATCCTCAGACTTCCAGAACGTAGCCTCGGGCATCTCTGGTGCCATCCGCAGGGTTCAGGCAGAATTTGATGCCGCGAGGGACCACGCAGATCTCGCCAGGCTGGAGGTAGAGTTTGCCCATCTCGGTCTGGATGTCCAGGTTTCCCAGCAGCGCGACGATCAAGAACTCTCCATCCCCGTTCAAAAACGCCCTCCGCGTCATCCGGGCGTTGATCGTAAACACATGCAACGCAAGCCCATCCCGCATGTTGGCATCCCCGGGTCCACCCAGAGAGTGCAGACCGTCCACAAAATCAGTCTCCTCGCCTTCCCGGGGAAGGTCAAAAGGCGCCCACTCGACCTGTGCCGGAATCATCTTGACCTTTGGATTGATGGCCAGGAAGCAGCTTTCCAGATGCGCCCTAGACTCGAGCACGCCGTCCTGGAAGCCGTGGTTCGCGACTGAGGGCCGGCAGCGGTACATCTAAGTGCTCGCATTGGCGACTCTGCTTGCGGCGAAGGCGGAAGATGTGGGGCCCTCGGGTGTACAAGTTGAAACGCGGGACCTGGGGGTGATTCTGCGCGACGAGCAGTGTGCCTGGGATGATTTCACTCTGGAAGCGATTACCGAAGCCCCATTGGTAGTCATAGGTGTCCTCGACGCGCGTGGGCTTGCAGATGTCGAGGTCGGTATAGTGGAAGACTTTCTGGATGTCTAAGGGCTCCTGTTCCTTCTTAGAGATTGGAAGTGGCTCTTCAACGGATGTTGGCATCTTGTCGACGCTGTCGAATCTTCACGGAGGCCGCGCTACTCTCTTCCTCTCATGGCAGCATGACAGTACATAAGCCTCCCGGCCTGCATCCATCCCAGCCTGGGCGAGACGGCCACTTCTCCATTATTGGCACGGGGCAAAACTATGCCGATGGTAAGCCCAGACAGAGACGTTCCAGGGCTAGTCGGCGCCTCGCCCCACTCACCCCACTCACCCCACTGTGTGTCCCTTTCTTCGTCAGCCTCGCCATGTGAATGGCCGGGCCTTCGAGCTTTCGGCTGGAAAATGGCCATACCATGGAGTAACTTTCCTCATGATCGTGTCTCGCGATGGTGGAATCGGCTCAACAGACACAACGACTTGCAACCAAAGGCGCAGCTTTGTGTCAAGCGGCGTGGTTGGCAACGAACAATAGATGAAGCGATCTCGACTGGACATGGAAGAGCAGCAATCATGCACATCAAGCGCAACACCACAGGTCTCGGCACCGTCAGCACGAAGACATACTTCGAAGGCTCCGTAGTACAGGTCGGGGTATGCCTTACGGTGCTGTCACGCGGCGGCTCCAAAGGCCCTAGCTCGTCGTTGAGTGGTCCACGAAGTCTCTCGACACCAGCCACTTCGGGGTACGCACGCAGTTCTGCTACATCTGATCTTGAGCTGGATAACCGGAGATCTGGCGATGCTGGCGTTGGAAAATATGGGATCCACGACTAGATTGTGGCGTTACAGTGGGTGAGGAGGTATATTGGTGCATTTGGTGGTGATCCGGAGGTGGTGACGGTGGTGGATCAGAGTGCAGGTGTAAGTGAGTACTTCAATTTCTTGCTTTTTGCAGTTCTTGTTCCGACCTTACGCTCTAGGAGGAAGTGAAGTCCTGACGTGGAGAGCAGGCGCTATTCAGATACAGATGATATCGCGCTGGGCGGCGCATCAGGAACTCTTCAGCCAGACAGTGATCATGTCGGGCAACGCCGTCCTCACGTCCCGTAGTCTCCAACACCAAGAGGGCATATACCAGAAGATTCTTGCACACCTGCAGATTCCCTCTTACATACCAGCATTGGACAGAATCCGACACTTGCGGGACGTCCTAGCGAATGAGCATTTGGACGCGTTCATAGCCACTGGATCTCCCCTACTAAATTGGCAAGCCACAGCCGATGGTTTCTTGCTGGGTGAATTTCCCCGGTCTTCGACGATAGGGAACTAGCAGTACGATGTGTATGTACGCGGAATCATTATCGGTGATTGTGAGAAGGAAGTACGCCCTCGCTCCTAGTTCGCTTTTTCATTACCTTTGCTTGCCACGTCTGACCTTGCGACAGGGCATCCTCTGGGGGTCCTCGGATCGCAAAACTCGGCTGCACCCCAGGTAAGATCCGCCCCTTACTCTTTTCCTACTTCCCTGCCGAACTTGTCGCGCATATGACTTTATTCCACGATCTCTCGGACTTCTCCAACAGGCAAGCACAGTCCAGGCTGGAACCTTTCTACCCCGACGCCAGAGTTCCAGCGCGACATCCACGAGATTGCAAACTCTTTCAGTGGTCGAAAAGCGTTCTAATATCACATGCGTCATGGAAATCCATTTCCGGGTCCGTTCCAGAGCTAGCACACCACACCGTCGACTTGGTCTTCCTATTCCAGACTTACAATCATCTCTTGCCGGACGAGTTTGCAAAGGCAGCAGAGCAGAGGGGACGGCACTGGATAAGCTTCATCAACGGCAGGGATCCATGGTCCGCCTACACTGGTGGAGAGAGTGGGATGTGCTACGGACCGGAGGAAGTGGCAATGTTGGGTCGGAAGGATGGGCAGATATGAGCGGTGAGAAAGATTTGGCGGCCGAGACGACTGATCCAGGTGCAGTGTGGTCGTTCGCGGGGAGGTTACTCCGCCGGCATACACAGAAAGTGGGAAGGACTTTCGCCCTTGCTGTCCGAGTTCCAGGCCTCCATCTGTATGATGTTGTGATCCATTGTGAGTCGATTGGAGGAGATAATAGATTTTCGGAGGTCGAGAGTTGTGGACAGACGCCAAGACGCAGACTATGTTCGGACCGGAGAAACAATGTTGCGGCCCGAGGCACCGAATGCGGCTCCGGGTTTGTCCCTCTCGCCCAGATCGGCTCCATGGCATCACCCGTGCTATATCGAAACTTTGAAGGTGCGAACATGCAAGGCTATGGAGCTGCTTGCCCTTCAGAACGCTGATAAAAGCCAATGTCGTTCCCAATGACGAGGTGATCGATCGGCTAAAATGTCGTCCGTCCGTGCTGTAACGGCCTTAAGAGACAGCCAGACAGGTCACTAATTGCCTCGGTTCCCGGCTGTGTCGATTCCCCCCACAGCTACTCTCCCCGTTTCCTGCGCCCGTCGTGTTTCGTGATCGCAACCACCTCGGGTCAATTACCATTTGATATCTGAGGGTCGGCATGGTGTTTTGACTTATATTCGCTCTCTTGTCCCCTCTTACACTGTCCTCTCCTGTTCGGCTGTTGTACTGTAGACAAGTTTGACTAGATCGTCGATTCCTCCATTCCCACTCACTGCTTTCACGTGCAACTCGAAGACAATAGACACAATGGTTTTCAACACCGAACTTACACGCCGACTCGGCATCAAGGGTACATTTGGAATCGCCTATCTCTGCCAGAAGCCTTGCTAACAGCCGAGCAGTTCCTGTCGTCCAGGGCGGGATGCAATGGGTAGGATATGCCGAGTTAGCGTCTGCTGTATCCAACGCGGGTGGTCTTGGAATTGTGAGTCTGTCTGGGACGGCTCGGCCAGGTTCAATAGCGCTGACCGGTGTCTAGCTCACAGCTCTCACTCAACCTACCCCTGAAGACCTGCGCAAGGAGATCCGAAAATGCAGGACCATGACCAAGAACCCCTTCGCCGTCAACATCACCCTCTTGCCCACGATGAACGCCCCACCCTACGGCGAGTACGCTCAAGTCTGCATCGACGAGGGAATCAAGGTGGTAGAAACAGCAGGCAACTCGCCGGGTCCGGTCATCAAGCTGTTGAAAGGCGCTGGCATCATCATTTTACACAAATGTACCACCATCAGACACGCTCAGTCGGCGGTGAAACTGGGTGTGGATTTCCTGTCAATTGACGGCTTCGAGTGCGCTGGTCATGTGGGTGAATCAGATATCACAAATTTCATCCTGCTGTCAAGAGCAAGACAGTCACTGGGAACACCGTTTATTGCCTCGGGCGGCTTTGCGGATGGCCAGGGACTGGCAGCCGCCCTGGCACTCGGTGCCGAAGGAATCAACATGGGCACCCGATTTATGTGCACTATCGAAGCACCAATCCATATCAACATCAAGCAAGCAATTGTGGAAGCCTCAGAGCATGATACCGAGCTCGTTTTGAGAAGATGGAGGAACACTTCCCGTCTATTCAAGAACAAGGTTGCACAGGAGGCTATCGCGATCGAAAAGAGCAGCACGACGGGCAAATTTGAAGAGGTGGCGCCATACGTATCTGGAAAGCGTGGGCGAGAGGTCTTCATCAACGGAGACAAGGACTATGGCGTCTGGACTGCCGGACAAGTTATTGGCCTGATTCACGACATTCCCTCCTGCCAGCAGCTTCTCTCGAGAATCGAGAGCGAAGCCATTGAAGCCATTGAACGGAGTCGGAAAATGTATCAACCCCAGAGCAAGTTATGAGGAGCGCTCGTATAAAGCTGTCGGGTCTGGGCGTTTCGGGGGCAGATTTGAGGCCAAAGACTTAGTCTGATATTGAGATTGTTCGAACACACTCCAACAAAGATTTCAATATCGCATCTAGTCGACTCGCCTCAAAACATGTAATTAGCGATGTGAGATGATCTGGATGATCATCTCGGGCGCCGAGGGCGCCGAACGAATTGTCTATCCTGCCAAAGGTGAGCGAAAAAAAAACTACTCGCAGCTCACCCAGCCGTCTCATGCTCACTCCTGGCTCGCCCCGAGCGAATGCTCTCCCACTCAAAAGTGAAGATGTCAGCACATAATACGAAGTAATTATACCGCGTATGGTGAAGGAACCAACCTCGCCGCTGTTGCCAGCTGCGACCTTCCCCGAATTCCAAACCCCTTCACTCTCCCAGTTTTGTTTTGCAACGTGCGTTTCAAATCAACACCTCGAGCAATAACTTTATCCAAGAAGTTCTTTCAAATGTATGGCAAGAACTTGTTCCTTTTGGTCACACCAATGACGCCCCAAGGGCCGAGGCGAAACAGAAAGCGGCTTTGAGCCGGTGGACGTGTTCTCTGAGCAGCATACGGCGCGAGGTTCGCCGATCAGTGCTTGAGAACCGGGGCCTGATGAATACTGGGACCTCCTTCCTCCTCACCCTGTTCTCTGCATGTTCAAGTTCCAAGCGGGAACATCATCTCGCCATACTCCTGCTGCTGCAGGCATCATCTTCTGCGCACGCCTGCACCAGAAGAATGAGAGGCCCATGGTAATACAGGCCAGGGGCAGAATGACTGGAAGCGACCTATAAAGGGCCATTACAGATAACGTTCTGCCTCCAATCGGATCTCTGCTTTGGCATTTCACCACATAAGTAATAGAAGAAAGTCTGCATCGGCGATCAGTGGAACTCTCTCTCCTTTAGAAGATCTCTTTGCCCCCACTTACCGAGACAGATGTTGCGCGAAGGTAGACTGGGGTCACGACGGTAATCATACGCATCGAAACCGCTTCTCCCTCAGCCTGAATGCTGACATCTTGCATATTAAGCGTAAGATTCTCCATCTTTTCGTCGCCCTGGACTAAAGCTGTTGCAGAATCTGGGATGATCAGTCAGAGAGACTACGTTCGGCCAAACCACTGTTGAGCTGCCATCTGCTCACTTGAACCTTTCGATCTCCCCTGATTTGAGCCAGAAGCTTTGCCCGGGAGCATTGCATGTTCAATTCATAGATCGCATTGTTGACCCTTCGGGCGAAGTCCTCGACAGGGTCGACGACAGCATACATCAGAGGAATCTGTTTCTGGGCCCGGTTTTCTTAGTGGGCTCGGAGTTTGGTCGACACCGAAATATTCGCCTCAATGATCCTCACCGCTTCGTCGATTTTCTCTATGAAGTACTCTGTTCCACGATGCATATCGATGAGATGTTCTGACGGGAAGTTGTTGAGAGTCGATCATCGCCGGTATGGTCTGGGGTGGGCGTTGAGTTGCAGGAGTTCTCAGTAGAGCAGGATAACACTCACCTGATCCTCCACCATTCTTCCAACCATTGAATGTTCCATCTCCGCTCGTCGGCTGCCCAGTCGAGCAGCAGCGTATGAACTGACAAACTAGATCTGAAACACTCTTCAGGAGTGTCGAAAGATCTATCCTCTCTCCGGCCCAGGGACCTCTGAGTTATTCCACATTCGGTTTGAATCCCCCTTCGACCATTGTCATGAGTCATAACGCCTTGCCATTTTTTACGTCGAGTTGATGGTAGACAGCGTCTTATCGGATAGTCCAGACTCTTTGGGGGACTTTAACGCTGGGATTTTCACAGAACACCGTCTCCAGATTGAAGCAAATCTCAAAGCAAAAGCCACTTCTTCCCAAACCTGAAATCGCCGTACTGGGCCCGGGACTGGCCCGGCTGGCATGACTGCGAAAGCCACTGTATCGCAGATCTCGTGCCCTACTCTGTCTTCCGAAGAGATATGAGAAATTATGATAGTCTGGTGCGACTTGATGGTAAGTGGAGACGTAGCACATCACTCACATAAATCGACAATTTGAACCTTTCTCCGTCGCAATGTCGCCGGTCACACTTGAGGTTTGCGGATCTAGGCATTTTGTGTCTCCCAACCACTCTCTCAACTTGTCGTTGCCGAGAACATTCTGTCGTTTGAGCTCTGCTCTCGGGTCAAGAGAAGCTCGCCCAACAGCAACGTTTGAGGGATACTCCGAACCTTGACGTGTTGTCGGTCAGATCTTGAAACGCAATGTTGATGGCGGCAGCGTCCTATTCAAACAAGTCTTGAGCTTGAGCATCCAAGCGATCCTTGTAGGGTAGCAGCAGAGACTTGTAGGTAACGTTGTTGCGGAGGTTGTAGGGATACTCGGCAGGTTCGCTATACGAATCTATGAACGGCAGTGTCAAATGCATTGCGTGCCAGCTACTCCTTCCCAACGCATCCCAACATGAACGTTTTCTTGACACATAATGAACCAAGACAACGCGGAAGAGTCTTGTGATTGCAGTGATGCTGGAAGACGCCAACCAGTTCATTCCCGCCTTCCGAGTGCTGGCCCTGCAAAGCGAGTCCAAGGAGTGTTCATGTGCCAGGCGACTCAGCCACTGCGAAATTGGCAACATTCATCCAGCATTGCATAACAACACCAGCACGACTCGGGCTTTAAACGGTGGTGAGTGCATCTATCTTACCCGTTCGGTAAATTTACAGTCTGGAAAGTTTTTGTTCAGCTACTCTATGGGCGTCTCCCTCAGCAGGCGATCAACAGGAAACTCTTTGGCATAAAGTTCTCACTCCTGCGCTTAATCGGTTTTGCCACGACTACTGCTAGACTGCGAGAAAAAGCTCGTAACACTTCGAGCTGATCTCGCCGTGCTTGTGCGTTTGGGTAGTTCGGTAAATCGGATATTTTCCATGTTGATGGAAGAACGCATCGTTCTGATGAAAATGATTAGTAAAAGGATTCAACGCATGGAAGCAGCGCCTAGGAGGCGACGCGACTTATGACAAGGAAGAAGAGCCGGCAGACGAGGATAAGGTCTTGTCAAGAATCATTCAACAAGATACTGAAGAGACCTTGGTCACCACACGAGTGTTGAGCGAGGTTTCGTGTTTTTCAGCCAGCGGCTGAGGGGGCCAAATGGGCCTCACTAGCCTAGGCCTTTGGTTGTCCAGATGACTGGCCTGCGGGGCTCCAGAGCGGCGCCACCTTTACGAGGTATTGGTGCCCCACACGGTTGTGGGCAAGTCAACCACAGGATTAAATCTCATGGGTCGGCGAACTGAGTTAATAAATGTGATATGGGACGGGCTCGTGCAACTTACAAGGCTACATCGCCCTTCTCTGGGAAATTTGAGGTGCGCTAACAGGAGTAGATGCTATCAAAGTCTCACAGTTGAAGACCTCCGATGAAGATTCACGCGTATTGAGCAGGTGGTTTTAACAGCGGCACGACCAGGGTGGTGAGTTCGAAGCAGTTGTTACTTTGCTTCAGCATTTGATAAATCCAACTACGATTCTCGGCACTGGGCTTTGGCTTACTTCATACCTTTGCCTTGTGCCTCTTGCCTCTCTTGGGGAAAATATCTAGAATCGAAACTTTGTCGCATATCGTTCAACTTCAATTGGTAACATACGGGCGGAGCTCGTATCGGATAGGGATCTTCATGGCTCCTTCATCCTTCCATTCCGTTTTGATCGCCTTTTTGCCAAGCTCAGATCCCGTGTCCCATCAGGCGGCCCATATTATGGCAGCAGAGTTGCAGAGATGGGTGGCTTCCTTTCTCCAAGGATGACCAGCGGATGGAATGCGGCCTTGGGCTGACCGGAGTAAGATGGTTACAGAGTGGGCGGGCATTTATGGTGGGCATTGGTGGCAAGTTCAGTGAGGCAAATGGCGCGTTCTCAAGTTTAAAAGCAATGGCCTGGTATTTCCATTCACCAGCATATGCCTGTGGACTTCTCTCCCATTGATTACTCGCTACAATGGGCAGCATTGCTCGTCCTTCAAAGCCATATTCGGTGTTGATCGCGGGTGCAGGCATCGGCGGCCTCTCAGCGGCTATTGCTCTGTCGCGCAAGGGCCTGGACGTCACGGTGCTCGAAGGGAAACCAGAGCTGAACGAATTCGGCGCCAGCATTAGCATTGATTCTCATGCAGTCAGAGTGATTCAAGGTTACGGACTGGGGGAGCAGTTCAGGGCTTGCGTCACCGAAAACAGATATGCAGATATCCGGGATGGCGCAAACAACGAGCGCTTGGGCGCCATGTTTTTAAATGAAGCGAACAACAGCAACGTCCGCTGGGGTGCGCCCAAGTGGAGCATACATCGCGCAGACTATCAACAGCTCCTCGCCGAAGGCGCCAAAGGGTACGGCACCAAGATCCAGTTCAATGCCGAAGTCACCAGTGTCGACGTCGAGACCAACACGGTGCATCTCAAAGACGGACGTTCACTTTCCGCCGACCTCATTGTGGGAGCAGATGGTCTTCGCTCCGCGGTCCGCGGATCCATTCCTGCAACGGCCTCCGTTGAGCTTATCCCTTTCCACGAAAAAGCCTACCGTTGCACTGTCGACAAAGACGTCATGGCGTCGAACCCAAACCTCAGCTGGCTGTTGACCCGAGGCGCGAGCCAAATATGGTTGATGGCAGGAAAATACGTCCTGTCTTGGCCCTTGCCGCCGCACAAGCCATACGATGTTGTCGTCTGCGTCGGTGAGGGCTGTAACGTTCCTTTCGGCTACTGGGGCATCAAGGCCAATCCAAAGCAAGTTGCCGCCGAATTCGGAGACGCCTGTCCCGCGATAAGAGACCTGCTTGCCAACATCGGCCCTTGCGTCCAGTGGAGGCTCGCCGAGCTTCCTCCTCTGAGCACCTGCCGGAGCGAAAATGGCGGCGTGGTCCTCCTTGGCGATGCCTGGCACGCCATGCTCCCTCATGCCGGCTCCGGCGGCTCCTGCGCGATCGAAGATGGCGCAGTTCTCGGCGAATGCGTCGCGTGGGCCTGGGAAAACGCGCGGCCGATCGCGGACGCGACAAAGGCGTACGAGACGCTGCGCAAGCCGCGCGTCGAGCGCATCCAAGCCGCAAGCCATGACGGCGTGGTGTTTCTCAACGGTGCCGACGCTGAGGTGCGCAACACCTTCTTGGCCAGGCAGCTCGAGATCGATGAGGCCGAGTTGGCACGCCCCGAGGCTGAAAGGAGAGCCCAGCCTCGTCCAACCGCGGACATCAATGCACCGTTCCCGAGCCCACCTTATCTGCAGTGGTTGTATAGCTACGACGCCGTCCAGGAGACGCAGAAGTATCTCGCTCAGCACACACTTTAGAACGGCGGGTATGAATCTGATGGAATTTAGACTATATCCACCCGATAGGTTTTGTCGTCAGGATACTTTTATCTGGGGACGGTTTGCAAGAACTCATATTGCGTTGAGAAATGGGGACAAGCGGATTTTGTGGAGATTATTATGGACCTGTCGATTGCAATGATCCGAAAACTATTATATCACAGTAAGGGTGTGAGAGATTTCGTACACGTTCGTCAGAAAATTGTCCCAGGCAGTGCTCCATCTCCTGGTCTTCCACGACTTTTGGGGTTTACAGATTCCCCGGATCGGTCTCCTGTGTAGCATCGTATCTCATTTTAGGGATGCAGGTCAGGCCGTCAGGGTTGACAACCCTGTACTAATCACGCATCCTTTGCATGACCGTGTGCACGATGACCCTCTCTTCCATCCTCTGTCCCAGCTCATCACTCCTAGGCTCAATGTCCCACTGGTCGCCGTTAACGACCGCCAGGACCTTGAGGTTACACCGTGCGAGGTCGACCAGTTTCACGAGCAGTTTGAACAACGGCTTCCGGTGGTCAACCCCTTTCACCAGATCGCAGCAGCGGTCCGCTCTGTCTAGGATGATCTGCACCTGCTCCGACTCATCGAAGAGGTCGAGTGCTCGGAGGGCGACACGTTCGAAGGCGGAGAGTTCCTTGGTCTCATGATGGTGGTTATGGTTACGTGCGACCTTTCTGTCCTGTGAGACCTGCTGGAATTGGTGTAGATTGCTCAGTTCGGCGCGAAGTTCATCGCATCGGGATTTGTCTCGGAGCACCACGCTCTTCTTGCTGAGCAGTTGCAAGAGGACGACGGAGAAGGCATGGTAGAGTGATTCTCCTCTAGAAGAAAAGACGTAGTACCCGTATATGCGGTCCTTATTGTCACCGTTGCTCAGATCTGTAATCATGGTCATGGCCACTGGAGACAACCAACAATGGTCTAAGTAACGGATACTGCTGTCATTGTGTCCGGACAGGATCAAGAGGCATGAATGTTTGGAATTGCTCCAGGACTGATACTCGCTGCAGGCGTGGAATGCTTCGAGGCGTCGGCCCTGCATTTGCTCGAAAAAGGGGGCGTTGAGATGATCGTCGTCGTACAAAGCTCTGCGATATTGTTCGAGCTGTTTGCGATGGTTCTCGCTCGAGAAGCTCGAGAGGTCCATATGTTGCTGGATTTCATGGAGTATATGGTTGTCTTGTGCCTTTCGGAGCTGGTTTACCTCATCCTCCAGTCCTGCGTATCCTTGTTAAAGTGCAGTGAATTGAAGGTGTAGGCTACTTACTCAGAATGGTTGCTTTTTGGTCCAGATTTAATTGTTTGATCAGATGTATGTTCTTGTCGAGTAGCTCATCACATATTCGTCGTATCTCTAGGATGACCTTCTGTGTCTCTGTAACCTTCTCGTAAAGATAACTAGGCGAGCCTAGAGCCCTAAACCACCTACGAAATCCGCTTCGTTTATAATATCGCGTTGCTTCGATACAGAATTGGATAAATATCTCGTAGGCAGCCACTATTCGACCCTGAAGCTTGATGTCTAGCTCATGGTTGTCGTTGTAGATATGTCTGTACAGATTCAACCCGGGCAGGCGATTGTTGATCTCACTGATAGCTGATGCGAGCGACATTTCCATCTCATTCTTGCTTGCAGCAACCTGTCGTTGACATCAGCTCACTCTTGGAAAAAGCAGACAGAGGTGGTCTCACTGTAAAGAGAACGGAGATGGTCCCTATAGCCATCCCACCATATGGCGCAGCAAAATTCTTCACTACTTCAACGATCGGCGAGAAATCTTTCATGAAGCTGCGGGCCACGGACGCTGCACTTTGGTAATTCTTCGACCACAGACCGCATCCTTTTTCGTGGCCGTCTTCGAAATTTTCCCTGGCCTCGACAGTCTTTTCCCAGAAAGCATAGAACTCTGTGACCGAGTTAATGTTGACAGCATTCTTCTCAGTTTCCGAGAAGTTCTTGCTCGTTCCAACAATTTGCTTGAATCTAGTTTGCTCGTTCTCCGAGGATTCTATTATCCTCCTAGAACACGATGGCACCGTAAGCCATAAAGTGGACATGCATGGCAAAACTCATACTTACAGATCCTTTTCAGAGAAGCACTTGCCGATGGTGGAGGGGATTCGAGCTCGAGACGACATGGCGAAGTTGGATCTTCACGAGTGCACAAACGGAGCCGCAAGAATCAGCCAAACAAATCTAGCCAAACAAATCTGGATGAGACATTGCAGACATTGACGCTCTAAGGCATCTGTCACGTTGATAAAAGTGTTTATCAGCCCGCCAGCCTGACAATGCTGCCTGCCGCGACACAAGGGGCGGATTAGGCGGCTCATGGTCAAGGTCTGTGTCTGAGTCTTGAGCTAGTGGCCTGCGCCTGGGCGGCTTTGCTGAGACTGGAAGGCGCTGGGTAAAACTCCTGCATCTCGAAGCATGTTGGAGCGAGAGAAGGGCGGGCGCTGGTGATTTGGGCATTTGGTTTACGTATGTACTCTGTGGGTTTCTCGGAAAATGGATGTTGCAAGGTTGATTCGGCCCCCTCGACACCCTCAGGCTGCCCGCCGAGTTCGGTTATTGCCTAGTGGGGCACGCAGCTCAAGTGATAGCCCCTATCCCTCAACCCAATCATCAACCATCTACGGAGTACCTACATGAACTGCCCACTGCTCAGCCGCATTCTTCCTGCAGCATGCCAGTTCCGAGAGTGCTGAAGCTGCGGCACAAGCACCATCAATATGCTTCAGCCGCTGTAGGGGTCAGCGTTTCGGCCCTGGAGATCGCCCGAGACCGGGCCGCCAAAAGTCAATGTCTCCTGAGATGGGGGTGTAAAAGAGGTGTGGAGGTTGTTTGCCGCCAGCGGTTTGTGCACAAACCGTTATTCATATAATATTGGGTATACCTCGCGGACTCCTGACAGTAGACGGTCCAACCACAATCCCACTATCGAGAGAGCACACACGGTGAACTGGAAGAAGATGACCCAAGATGCAATTTCCAGTGTCCAGTCTCAGACGAGCCTGGAAGAAAGGTTTGCCGCTTTGGAGGCGAAATATGTCTCACTAGAGAAGCGGTATTGCGAGCTGCAACAGGAAACCGTCTTTTTCCAGCAGTCTTCAAGTGAGAAATCCGGCCAGAACGGGGCTGACACGACGTCCTCGAAGGTACCCTCTTCGTTACCGGGCATCAAATCCTCCGTTGTGGGCTAATACAAACAGCTTGTTTCTGCGAATGGAGTTGACAACAAAGATCCGCCCTCCAAGGGCGCTGGCAGCGACACAAACACAAGGCCATCGCCCGAGGAGACAGGTGTAGGGCCCAAGTCCCGCGCGAGGATAGTTATCAACAGGACAGACTCGGAATCCCACGAGCGCAGAGACTTCCCTGCAGAAGATCAACCTGCCGACCTGTCTGATAATCCCGACACTTCCTACGCGTTCACGCTACGCAAAATTGTGGGTGACAGCGAAGACGATGATGGAGAGATCGACATTGTCGACCAAAACCTGTGGGAGCTATTGAAAGAACTTCTCAGCCATTACCCGTATCATACATTCCGCGGCTCACCCAGCACCATCAGTGCGCCGTACGAAGCCTTGGTCCTCAACTGGGACAAACTAGAGCAGGCCACCAAGATAGAGCCTGGGAGCGACAGCGACAAGCAGGCTCGATCGGATCTGAAACTTCTGCTTGATACGATTACCAACTCGTCCGGCGATGCGAAACTGGACAAGTATTTCAAGACCAGAGATTCTCATAAACAACAAAACTCCGTCACATTCGACAATCTTTGGACCATTTTCGCCCCCGGGACCCTAGTCTACGGCAGACCCTTCCAAGGCCAAGATCAAGTCTTTGTGGTCCAAGATAACATCGGCCCGTGGCCGTATTTTAGCGACGGCGTACCCCGTGAGCAGGCTACTTGGACTCTGTTAGCTTGGACCTATGACTGGAATGGAAGCATGTTCAAAAGAAGGCCTTTGAGGCTGGAATTTGAGTATTTCGATGGCACCAAGCCAATCACATCGTTGCCGTATTACCCTTTTCAGTTCCACGAGCAACAGGATGGTGTGAGGGACAATTTGATCCAGCAGGGTATCAAGTATCGCAAATTCTGCACTGCCACTCAAGGGTCTCGATTGTTTGACTACAGAGGAGATGCCCTGCTTGTCAAAAAAGGATTCTCCGGAGTTCAAGCGGATGATGACATGGTAGGTATCATCTCGACCGCAAGGGAGTTGTCTGCTCAATGCTGTCTCAGGACGATGACGCCCGACGATTCTTCGATGCGGAACTAGAGTACATGAGGCGCAGGAGACATTCACGTTTTTCACAAAAGGGTGCTCCACACCCGAAATCTGCAACTGTAAGTTTCATGCTGTAAGTGGCAGGGTATTGCTGAAATCCTTTTTTTTTGGTCTTTTAGGTGGACAGTCGAGTCATGGTAGATTTCGAATCGTATTTTGTGTTCGGTCCTTCTGTTGCACGTGTGGGCGCCCTCTGGCCAGACGATGACAATCCCCAGTGCAATTGCAATGACTGCCAGGAAAATGATCTGTTGAATGAAAGCTTCAGAACAAAGTACGACGAAGAAGCATGTCAAAAGGGCAAATGGGAGGACGAACAGTATATGCTTTGCCCCCCTCGTGTGCTCGGATATGTCTTAGGGGACAAGCAGTGGGCTCAGCTACAGGTCTCCTTACTAGCAAAAATCCCTGACAAAGACCCCGACGATGCTTGGTCTACAAGACTCAAACTGGCCGACGACGGGAAAACAAAGAAGATGATTTTAGACTTGGTGGAGGGCCACGGGAAAAGCGACTTATCGGAGGACAATCGCCTCGAAGTAGACGACATTATCGCTAGAAAAGGGAAAGGTTTGGTAATTCTTCTTTATGGTAAGACAGGCCGAGATTCATCATGCGTACTATAAGACGTTGACACTTCGAAGGGCCGCCAGGAGTAGGGAAAACATCCACCGCCGAGACGGTAGCACTTGCAGCAAGGAAACCTCTGTTCGCCATTAGTGTTGCAGATGTGGGCACCAAGGCAAAGAATGTTGAGGCAAACCTAAAGAAGATTTTCGACTTGGCTACCTCGTGGCAAGCTATCCTTCTTATGTGGGTATCTTCTCTCTTGCCTTGATCCGGTGTCTGTCGAGAGGCTGATCTTATTGATGTAGCGACGAGGCCGATGTCTTCTTGGAGAGTAGAGGACAGGGGGTCGCAGCAAATACCGAAAGAAATGCCCTGGTTTCGGGTGGGTAGCTGCGATGTGACGAAAATGGTGCATTGGCTAACTGCAGCAGTTTTCCTTCGAGTGCTCGAGTATTATCAGGGTATGTGGAAGCTCCCTAACTGGATGCATAAAAGACTGACCCGGTCTCCAGGAATCCTAATGCTTACAACAAATCAAATCGCCAAATTCGACGTCGCTGTCCAATCCCGCATTCACGTCGCTTTTAAGTACGTCAGTCTGAATGAAGACCAAACAATGGGAATCTTTGGCGGCTTTTTGGGACCATTGGCCAAGAAAGGTCTCGTTAAAGATTGGGATGACATCAAGGAGTGGCTGCTCGAGGATGTGGTGAAGATGGGCTTCGACGGTCGCCAGATACGGAACATTGTAACCAGCGCGCTAGGACTGGCCCGCGCTCAAGGAAAGAGCAGATTGGAAAAGAGCCACATCAAATTGGTGCTCAACAACGTCAAGGACTTCAAGGACGAATTCATTAAGCAGTTCGAGAAGTACAAGACAGAGCAGGCCGGAGGAAGAGATGCACTTATGTGAGCGAAGTCGCGGTCTTTGTGAGACCCGATTGCAAAGGAGGTAGCTTTTAAATGGTATATTACCAGATTGCTTGTTTGAATATCAATATCAAGTTGAAAGGAATCGTACCCCCTAGCCATGGGGAGAATAGAATGACTTGGTACAACTTCCCCAAGGTTAAGGGCAAGGCAGGACAAGGCTGAACAAGGCTCGCCTGCTGACTAAAGCAGCAAGTGGAGTCCAGCCAAGAATCCCATATCCGACCCGAAGAACTTCAACTTGACGTCTGATATTCAACCACCCATCAACGACAACGTGAGTTGTTCCATCACTGAAATCGGTCCATCATGTCGGAGGCCGGCCTAGCAGAGCGAATCGACGCCACCATCGCCGAGTTCTTCTCGTCATGGAACATCTGGACGACCATTCTTGCGCTCACTCTCACACTGTTCCTCATCTACCCGGTGCTTACGGGTCGTGAGCCAGATACTCATCCCTACTTGCTCGCAAGACAAGCACAAGTTGCACCCATTCGTCAATCAGGTGAGTCGGCCGTCTACCGCGCCATCGATATCCCACATGGCTATCCTCTCCGTGCCGGCCTGGGCGTCAAAGATCCAGGCACTCCAAAGTGGAGTTCGGGCCGACCTGGAGATCTGCGGGATATCTGGAGGTCGGCAGTCCGTGGTGCAGTCAATGAAGAGGGCAATCCAACAGGCCAAAGAGGCAAAATTTTGACGGTCCTCGGCCTGGAAAAGGTCATCGAGCATAATCTGGAAGACTTGACGTTGGGCATCAATGTCATCGGTCAATATGTGAAGCGGAACAATGGCCAGTCTGTGGCAGTCTGCCTCCCGAATTCGGTGGAGTTGTTGTCTTCCATCTTCGGTATGTTGAAATATCTCCACAGCCCGTTGAGTGCATCATCGAGTATCTTACCCTCCTCAAACAGCTGGCTCGTTCTATGGCTTCTCGACAATGCTTCTCCCATATGGCCTCCCGCCCGACAAGCTCAATTCGCTTCTCTCCAAAGTCGCCGCCGACCATTTGATTGCCGCAGCCGGCACATTAGACCTTGAAACCATGTCTTCCACCGCCAAAACCATCAAGAACATCATCTGGGTTACCAGGCCGGAAAACAAGCATATGGACTGGTCTGAAGGATCTCCCGAAGGTTTTGCTGTCAGTTCATGGGAGCAACTTGTGGAGAAGAACCAGCGTTCCTCTAATTCAGAGGTTTTGCCGTTGGACAAGGATTCTCAAGTCCCACCTGTGTCGATATTCTGCCCTACAGTTAATGGAGGATTTGATTTGGTCAAATACTCCTCGGAGGTGGGCTTCTATTTCTCTCTCGCCTTGCTCCTGCCCCTAGTCAATCAAGCCTCATCTGTCAATCGGATCATTGTCCATACTAACCGGCACGGCTTGTAGAACCTCATCTCTGGCACCGCTGCACTCCTCGCCACCCTTCCACGCGCCCAAAAGCTCTCTCCGACCGACTCACTGCTCCCAACCACACCCCTAACAGACAGCTACACCCTTTGCTGGATCTTTGCCACCCTGTACGCCAATGCGACACTGTCCCTCAACTCGGTTTCTGGGGATAACATCGATCTCACCCACGCCGCCTCACAGACTTCTCCGACAGTCGTCCTCGCCTCTCCCGCTACTGTGCAAGCATACCTATCCCACCCGAATACGACCTTGCCCGGTGGGTTGTCGAAGTACGTGACCACACGCACTCTGCAGCAGGGCAACCTCCCCACAAAGCAGGCCACCGCTGCCGACGCCCTCTCGCATCTTCGGGTCCTTCTCATCCCTCAAGCAAGCACCGCCCCAGCATCAACCCGCTTGTCATCATCGACACTGCACAGTATCCGCACACACTTGAAATGCCGCATTGGATACGCCCTCACGAGTCCGTCCGTGGCGGGTGCTATTGCGCAGACCAACATCTTTGATTATCGTGACAAAGGCCCTAAAGTCTGCTGCGTCGGTGCGCCACTTAGTAGCGTCGAGGTCAATTTGACCGGGGAGGAGCATGTCATGGGGTCTCGTACTCCGCGAGGGGCAACGGTACGTCTATCTGCACCGGCCTATATTTTCTGCTTCGTATATTCTGCCGTTTGTTTCTCTACCCGACCTTCCTCCCCTTTCAGTTCAGCAATGCTTCAAGTGTCTCACTGTCCCATTTAATTTCATTTCATGGATCAAGCATGCCTGACTGACTCTTTGAACGTGATGTTTCCAAAATAGGTCACGATCAAAGGACCCGCGGTGGTCAGTGGAAAGACAACACTCGAGAACGTCCATGTGCAGATCGACGAGGATTATACATTGCTCCTACTTTGAACCCTGTCCCCATCCCCACCCCGTCATCGAACGGTGTTGGAAAATGTTCTCGCAGGTCATGCAAGGAACAACGGCACATATCCGGAAGAGGTTCACAATGAATGGATGCAGTAGTCCGAGCGGAGCAGTCGAGGCGGATAATACGTCAAATTTTTGCTTCGAGAGAAATCCTGCAAAAATAAATGCCGCAATATTTGCAGATGGCGAAGCTTGAAACTAAATCAAAGTCGTGTTCTTAGTCGGAAGGGAATGATATGAATCTTACAACGACAGATAGAACCAGAAAAGAAAAAACCCGTTTCTTTTTGCTCATTGATGGCTTTTTGTTCTGTCATGCAAACTGCAAGTCGTGCTTCGGTCGTAGCTCATGCAGCTCAAGTTCGAACCCCGAGTTCATGATGTCTAGCTACATGTCTGTCTTTCTCTCTCTCTCTGTGTGTGCATGCAACTTCCTCCGCTCCAGTTTCCAGTCCATTTTCGAGACCCATGATCAACTCGCGCCTTTGACTTCGCAGAATGTAGAAAATCAACTGTGCAAAAACAAGGAAGAATTTGCTCCGTGTTCTGTACTACCCTTTCTTTTTTGTTCCTTTTTCGAGATTTGACCTTTTTTCGTACCTTTTTTCGGGCGAGGTGTGTGTCCTTTACGTCCCATCTGACTAGTGATCCAGCTTCGAGAGTCGAAATAGAGTTCTCGCCGATATGTGCGTTGAGATTTGCCATGCGATGTGAACCGTTTCAGCAGAATTCAATCCTCGCCAGAAGAGCCTGTCTTCTGGGAGAGAATAGTAGTGCGGTAGATCCACCTTCCCATGCCCGACGAGTTCTCGGCAGTTTCCTCAACTAACCCAGCTCCCACGAGCTTATTGATCGCGACCAGCGCCTCCACGTCAGTGCATCCTATCCCGGTAGCAATTTCTGGTATTCCCTGCCACCCACGCCACGCCATCTCCGTATGTTGCTTGCTCAACCAATAGTAAATGCGGTGCGCAAGAGCAGGCATGCTCAGCACAGCAGCCAAAGTGCGGGATACCGCCGCGTCAAAGCCGGAATTGCCGACATGGGCGGGGGCTGGTTCCGGGAAGAAGGCTGGCGTATTCAGACGACGCGAAGTTTGATGACCCCATTCGAATTGGAGAGGCATGGTATTCCCTACTGGGCGAGGAATAGGAGATGCCGAAAGGTGTGAGTCGGCCGCGTTGGGAACCTCCACCCCAGGAGGCAGAGGGTCTGATGGCGCGGCATACGCAGTTGGAATCTTCGACGTGCTTCGTGACTTGACATCCTCATCCACAACACTCGCCGCCCAGTTGTTCGGCTGTTCATAGTTTCCGTTGTGGCTCGCCCAATATCCATCATTTGGAGCATCTCTCCAACCACTGTCTTCATTCTCGTCCGAGAGACACTCGGCATTGTCACCGTCCCGAGCAGCGAGTTCGTCTTCCAAGGACTCTACTGCATTAATGCTCGAAACCCACAAGTCGTGAAGCACTGTGGTCACATCATTCGTGGCATCCTCGTCATCGTGCAAATAAGAGACGAGCTCGGAGATGACATCGCTTGAGCTACCTTTCTCAAGTCGCTTCGGAAGCTCCTGTCTCAAGCAATGTCGGAAGTAGGCTCTGAACCCTGGGATGTCGTCAGCACAGCTGTAGATATCGGCGAGGTTAGACAAAATATCCAAGGGATTGATTTCCCAAATCAGCCAGAGTGCGCCGAGCAGAGACCAGTTCTCGTATTTTTTGGCAAATTCTCCAAGGTCGTTCGAATAGTGCTCCTCACGACTAAGCTTCCCTTTGAGCGTATCAATGTCCTGTTTGTAATGATATTCGACCGCAGCTTCAAATAGATCTTGATCAATATCAGTCAGCCAGAAGGTGTCATTTCCCTCCGGGAGAACTTCGCGTGGGAACATGAGCGAGAAAATTCCGTCGTGAATGAAGTACTTCCGGTCATCAACAATGATCGAAATAGGTTTGCAACCAAAGCGACTATAAAACCATTCATTAGTTTCTTTGATCCCATATCTGCCACATGTTTTGCGTGTATGACAAGAACTGAATCGAGCAAACTGAAAGGAGTGTCTATGTCATCTTTGGCATGGAGTGTCTTATTAGGAAGGCCGTTCTGATCAGAGAGCATGAAATCCACGGTAGACTTGTTATTCTACCTTCCCATCAGCTCGTATCTTACCAGAACCGCCCATCCTGCACTTTGTTGCAGGGATTCGAATCATCGCCGGTTTCGTTATCCAAAGAATTTTCAGCTGCATCGAAAGACAACTGGACAGGATCTGCCATGTTAATTAGCACCGATAGGTCTGAGTGTCAGTGCAACCTGATGACGCCGAGACACAAGCTCACCCGGAGTAACCGTGCCCAGGTCGCCACCAGGCTTGGAGGATACACGAGACTTGCTGGTGGTCAAGGAACCATCTGGGGTTTGTCTGGCATTCGCTGTGAAACCGAGGCGGTTGATGGCATGTGCAATAGTCCTGGCCGTTTCGTCGTCATTATCTGGCTTGACAGTCAAATCCAGCTTGCGAAGTTGCTGAATAAGCTTCTGATCAGATGGTTCGGGCGAAATCTTAGAAGCCAATGAAGCAATGGACATTGCTGTTGGATCGAGATGGTGTTTCATGGTGTTCAAGATGTGGCAGGGAAAAGCATAAAAGAGGAGAGAAATGAGTGAGAGGTGGAGAGTTCGAGGGAGCGAGGGGAGTGGGTGGTAGAAGGTATATATAGGATGGATTTGAAACTCAGTGAGAGTGAAGACAAGCGCTGTCGACTTGCACTAGAATGGCCCATGTGACAATCAAAGTGAACTGACGATGTGGGATTCTGAGGACATTCCGAGAGTATGTGAGAGAAAATTCAGCTGTGGGTGAAGTGGGTGATAATGATTTCTGTAGGAGCCTGAATCTTTTGGTACATTTCATCCAAGAATCGCCTTTTGCAGGAGGGAACACGCACTGTTGTCACACAAAACTGAAGCCGACCTGCCGACCTGAATCGAATCTGGGGGTTGTGGCTTCACGTTCCTTGAGAACCCGTTTCGAATACACGGACCTCGATCATCCCTCGGGGGTACATCATCTCTTTCCCTTCTTCGGTCTCGAACGTCCCAGTTGACTAGACGGTTTGCCGCCGGTTAACATGGCTCGCTGTCTCAGATACTGGTCAACCACTTTCTGCACACTTCCTATATCGTGCTCTGGTTTCCTCAAGTAGTAGATTCTCGCCCGCCTCTTTCTCTTCGGTGCTCTCTGGGCTATTTCCATGCTCTGCACCAATGGACTGTGCACCTTGATTTGCATTTCCATCCCTATCCCTGTCAAATGGTTGCGCAACAGGACGGACTTGTGAGGCCCCGAGCCTTTGATTGATAGTATCACCCCCGAGACCGGTTCGCCTGAGGTGAATGTTGCAAGCAGAATATCTCCAACTCTTGCACGGTCCTTGTTAGTCTTATCAAACAGTTTTTGCCGTGCGCCCGTGGGATCCAGAAGAGCCAATTGTCGATTGTCCACGACGGAGATGGGATCTTTGCAAGTCTCAGCCTCGGATCGCGGCGGATCGTGTATTACAATCTCTCGTTTTCCTAACAAAGAGGTCAGCACATATAGTGCCTCAATTAAGCGCTTTTTGATTCACCTCTGTCAGGTTTGAGTCTTTCCGGTATTTGAGACCAGTATTGCGATGGCAGATCGGAAGGGACGTCGAGCTTCTCGATTGGGCCGCGTTGTAGTGTGACTAGTGTGCGACGAAACTGTTGTGGCCGAAGGTCTGGAAAAAGAGACCGCCAGCAGCATATAGACATCCGTGAAGCAACCGTTTTCGACATGTTGAGGGACAGACTGTACTCAGCAGACAGTTTTAGGTCAATTGCAGGGAGGATGTCGGAGCTCAATCGCGGTCACTTTTGCAGAAGCAGAAGAGGAAGGTGGAGCGACTCGAACTTAGTCCTTGAGAAATTCATTTGGAGATTCAATCGCAACACAGCCACGCCCTGGCAGTTTTATCCAAACAAGAATTATCACTGCAGTTTAGGTCATTCCTCATGGCGCAGCCCAGTCAAAACTTACTCTACATCTGTAGAAGTTGTCGACCAAACATTTGCAGTTCGAATTGGTCAAAGTCGACACGATCATTCAGCGCCACACGGTCGAGGCCAAAAGGTACGCTCTTGTATTGAATTTATCCAGCTTAGAACTATTGATGTTAACAGCACAAAGTAATACCGGCTTTCAATCCCACATCCAATCCCGAGTTCGACAACCTCCTCCTGACATGGCGCCAAAAAGTCTTCATGCCAGCTGCCCTGGAAAACCATCATCGGGATCTCATTTACAAGGCATCGCGCCATCCGACCCTCACCAACGAACCGGGTGTCACAGTAACAATGGATGATGGTGAAGAGATCAAGCTCGAGCCAATGCACTTTTATGACAAGCCGAGTGTGAATAAGAGTATCCTCAAATTGGTGAGACTGCTTGACGGCAACCACAACGACACCGATTGGAACAATCTGCCTCCTTTCCTTCATGGCTTGGTCATGGCAAAAATCAATCTCCCTTCTAGTTTTTACGAGAAAATCACACGGAAAGCCTGTGAAGTGGGCAAAGAACGGATCATCTTGCGATGCGCGGAGAAGCCGACCGAAACAGGAATGAGGCTGTCGCGACAGGGAGTTGCCCGGGAATTAATGCTGGGTTTCCACAACCGTGCGGTTCTGGCGAATTTCCAGGGTGGTGAGCTTGACGCGGCTTCGCGGCGAGCCGAATATGTTGCACGAATGTTGGAAGACGAATTGCACGGAGGCGGTAAGCTGCCAAAAGGGGAGGTGGACGCGAGGAAGGATCCAGTCGTTCTGGCGGTGTTGCTGGAGCTTGCGGCTGCCAAAGCAATACACGCACACGGTGGCCAAGACCATGAGGGAAAGGTCGCCAACTATGCCACCAAGCTCCTTCACCTAGACAGCAAGGAGCTAGGTTCGGAACTCGAGCAACAAACAGAGGTAGAGCAGAACTACGCGTTGGTACAACTATTGCCAATACAGAATTCGATCAAATGGGCGCTGAAGGTCGACTCGGTCAAGAATCCCGATTTGCGGAAGCAGCTGGAGGTTAAACTGAGCAGCCTGACCAAGGTGGTGAATGACACCGCGCAAAGCATTCAGGAAAAAGTGGGAGACAGACCAAGAAGGAGTCTGATCATGTATGATCAGCTCGGTGAAAAGAGGTAGATGAGAGCCTCAGGCTAGAGTGCTACAGACGAAGCCCATGGTCCAGCAGTCTGTGCCATTCGTGCTGAAGCGGACATAGCTGGAGTTGAAGTTCATGACTGGATTCCTGAGCCTCTAGCTTCATGCCCTCGGATTTGTCCCAACCTATTGGGATATGTACAATTATTTCATGTCAATACAAAAATGTATGGTCTAAGAACTTTCCTTATGATGTGAGTGTCGACACAGAAGTTGATGAAGACCCGTTGAACGAAGTATTAATCACTCCGTATGCGTCTAATATCCCAAAATGCAGCCCGACCGCCGCGGACTTCCGCCAAAGCACCTAAAGAAGAGTGAAAAAAAAATGTCGCGAGCTCATATAACACAACACACCCAGACCATGCAGCTTGTCGGGGAATCCTATCCTATCTTTGTTGGGGAATGTCATCTCTACCTCCTCCCAAGGCCTCTTCAAATCGTGTCTTGAGTTGTGATAATACTTGTGCCCGATTGTCTTCCTCAACCATAGTTTCGTTCGATGTCTGCTTTCTTCTCTCCTTCCCCCGCTGTTGCCGCTCATCCATCGTATCCTCCCAGCCATTATCCATATTAACATCACTGTCCTCGCCAGATGGCCCCATAAAATCATCCTCATCTCCCACAGTATCAGTATTTGATTTTCTCTTTGGGGTTGCGCCTTGTGATTCTCTGCCACCGTAATAATCCTGAAGCTGTAGCCCGCTGAGATGCTCCAGTTTGTATTCCGCCTTGCCTTCGCCGTTCGTCGAGATTCGAATAACGTGACGTGAAAAGCTGGCGGTGACGAATGGTTTGACTTGAAGAAGGATTGCCCAAGCAAAATGTGCAAAAAGATAAGGACGGGCGGCCGAATCGAGATATTGGACCGTGATATTATGATGTATAGGCCAGAGTTCAGCTGCTTGCCGTTGAGGAATATGTGTAACATATTGAGGAGAATGAGCAGTCGTGGTTTCTCTGACCTTTGGGACGATAGCAAACCACCGGGTATCGAAACACTTACTCTGCCTTAGGCGGCCCGATATTAACGGAATCATTAATATCACCGACTATCGTGGTTCCATATCTTCCCATATAATTTTTTTTGATACCAGAGAAACTCATTCTCTGGTACGAGATGTGGCTCCTCAACAGCAAAAGAAAAATTGCTGATCGCGCAACGAGTAGTGTCAGGGGTGTTAGATAGTTGAGGCCAGGAATCTTGGATATGACCATGAGGAAATTCCCAATCTCGGAAGCTGGGTACAATAGGATACAGGTCTAGAAGAAACAATGTGTCGGCGAGAAGTTCATTGCTGGGTTATAAGGCGCAGAGCACATATTCGGACCACCGCCAACCATGAAGTAGGAGACCTCAGTTAAAATATCGTCTGATGGCAGCTCAACTGGCCGTTGTCCTGCCTGATCCAAGGTCGAACGCCCGGTATCGAAGGCATTACCAGCGATGATTTGACAGGCAAGCAGAGCCGTTTCGTAGTGTACGCCAAAGGTAGTGGTGCCTGCTACACGATCGAGACGTGAGAAGGATACCACTCCTTTAGTTGGGGCAGTAGGGGCTGGTAAACCGGATGGAGGATTCGAATGGGTGTTCGGAAGCGCAAATGTATTGGTGGAAGCGGGAAAGGGGCCATCTTGCCGAAAGATACGAGGTACGAGGTATGTGCAGAGTACTCCGTAGCGCGATGAGAGAGTGAGTTGAGCTGAGTGGATGGAGATGAGGGGAGGGGTTTTCTTTGGTCGCGGAGAAGCAGAAGCGCGAGCATAGGGCGGCATCACCCTTATCCCTAAAAGGGGAGAGTTCGGTGCAGTTTCACCCATTTTGGTCATTCAAGACCCTTCAACCCAGTCGCGTCGTCACCTTGGGTACGACCTCAATTAAGTTGTTTACTACCTACAATGACCGGACAATAACTCCCTGATACCTGCGCATTCTGCGCTCACTATCTTTCACCCCAGATTCCCAAAGCGGCTTCCCACGATGGCGAACCCTCCACCGTCTGACCCCTTCCTCGAAGTCCAAACCGACGTGCAGTCCACGCTCCAAAGCACCCGGCACCTGTTCTCCAGCTACCTCCGTATCCGCACGCTGTCTACATCTGCGACATCCCCAGAACTGCAACAGTCACGGGCGGAGCTGCGTTCTAACCTCGAAACCCTAGTGGCAGATCTCGCAGATCTGCTGGACAGCGTGAAAGCTGTGGAGTCGGATCCGTACCGCTTTGGACTAGATGTCGCCGAAGTGCAACGGAGGAGGCAGTTTGTTCAGGACGTGGGCGATGAGGTGCAGGGCATGAGGAGGGAATTGGAGGGCATCACTACGGATACACACATCGCTGGAGGAGTATATCCTACATCTGCCACTACCCGGCCCACCGCCAGCGGCGGTGGCGGCGGGGGCACAAGAGTACAGAGTGGGAAACTACCGAATCCCTCATCCTTTGAGGACGATCACGATGATGAAGACGACGACGACCCCTACCGGGCCTTCGAGGCCCAACAGCAAGAGATGATGATGCGCGAACAGGACGAGCAACTTGACGGCGTTTTCCAAAGCGTCGGTGTCTTGCGCGGCCAGGCTGAAGATATGGGTCGCGAATTAGAAGAACAAGGTGCTTTGCTAGATGAGGTAGACACCCTGGCAGATCGGGTGGGTGGGAAGTTGAGCGTCGGCGTGAAGAAGGTGGGTGAGGTGATTAGACGGAATGAAGATAGTGTGAGTAGTTGCTGTATTGGGGTGTTGATTGTGGTTTTGGTGATATTGTTGATTCTAGTAATTGTCATCTAAGGGCGAAGGATGGGTCCTATCTTTGGCTGAATTTCTCCAAGATCGATGGACGCACCTGGCTGCTGCTCAGGTCGATTCTCATTACGGATACAGGTCTTGAAGGAAATCAGGACCTCCGAACGGCTGATCGCGACCGGAGTACTAGGTGGCCGCTGGCGGAAGTCGCTGGACCCATCTGCGGACGCCCCGGACCGGAGAAAGCAAACTCTACCAAGCTGCTTTCATGAGTGACGATATCTCAAGCATGTCCAGACAATCCGGAACGGACCGGACTGATACCTCAACCGGTGCGCGGCTTCTTTCGCGGTCTGGCATTGTCCTCCTGTACCAACACCAACTCCGGAGCTTCGTCGTCATCTTCCTCATCCTCATGCTCGTCATCGTCGAAGTCAGTTTCTTCTGAGTGAGCCGACATGAAATAGTCCATGGCATCGGGCCATAGATCCTCTGCCAAAGTGGTGGCTAACTCCTCACCAGCCGGGAAGATCTCGACCTCCAACATCCCTTCAATATCATCATCGTCGCCCTCATCCTCGCCGTCCTCGTTCGTCTTCTTCGACTTCCCTGCATCGACCGCGCCGCGAAAGCCGAACCAACAGAAGAAACTCGGTTGGTAATCGTCATCTTCATCAAGCTGGACTATCTTTTCTCGGAGCTTCTCGTACTGCCACAGCGCCTCCCGGTCCACGACATCAATCACCTTATCTCCATTCTTCAGCTTCAGCGCTTCCTCTGCGTTGTACACGTCGACAGCGGCATCGAGAAGACCTTTTGTCAGGTCTTTCTTCTTTCCCTTCCATTTGATAGGAACCGGCTTCGAGACCAGGCTACCAGGTCCATCGTCATCGGCGCGATGTTCGAACTCCTTAATCAACGTGGTATTCTCTATGAATTCGTTGGGACCAAACTTGAAGGTGAACCGCAGGCTGCGAGGTTCGCCTTCGGTTTCAGACTGGATCTGATACCGATCAACAGAGAAAGACTTGATGGAGGCAATGAGCGCAAGGTCGTCCGGGGAGAAGGATTGTCGGATCTCCTCTGGTCCGGAGCCAAACACCGTGGGCCAGAAATCCGGAATTCGACGAAATAACGATTCCCGCTTTGAGTAGAGAGGCTGCGAGGAGAACTGCTTTCTTCGCACTAGATCAACGTCAGCATGTGCGGTAGACTCAATCCAGATGGCTGCATACAAGAGTCGAGCTCAACCTGGGCAAACTCTTTCTCTAGATCTCCAAGCTCGTTGAAAATCGCAGTGAGATCATCTAGAGGTATCGCCATCTTGCGAAACCCAAGTGATGAATTAGAGAAATACCACTGAATATTGGCACGGTCAAGGCTTCGTTCGATTGCACTGGGTACACCGCAGCTTGCCGCAATCACAAATTTCAGAATATTCTGCCATGTAAAATTCGAAGGCGGTGAAGAAGTAAAGGCGGTCATTTCTGCTGCGCCGGTGCTCCGTTTTTCCGCTCCGGTTAAGTTTTGGTATGCGAAGCGTACCCAGAGCAGCCCCGAGTATTTTCGATCACCTATTTGTCCCATGCCGCCTACACCTGGCTAAAGTTGACCAATTTCTGTTGCGCATACATTCCCCATCTCGACATTGGGGGTACTGTAAAAGCTGAAGCGAGCACAGAGTATCCAAAGCACTCCGTACAAGTCTGTAACGCCACTTTACCCGAATGCGAGGAGATCGACATGTCTTGGTGTCCATACAACGACCTGCGTGGCTGCATGCAAGCATTGTTTTTATCACAATGCTGTGATTGAGGCTTTAGTGAGCAGCTAATCCCCATCGACACAAGGAGAACATATCTTGTGGCGATGTGATAAGCCCCTGCCCATCTCTTTTTTAACCCCCTTTCCCTCAGCATTTCAGACCCTGGACTCGGCAAGACGTTTTTGGTCTCGGAGTGGGCTGGTTCCCGGGTGCATTCGCTTTGTTCCTTCGCCACGTTGCTTGCAGGGTTCGTAAGTAGGCGAAGAGCAATGTCTCGAGTCTAGAAAACTGCAAAAGCGGTGAGAACCTTCTGGAGCAAAAGGGAGGGATGTTTTTCTGGGTGCCTTCGCTTCTCTGCTTGAGGCGGTAAGTGGGACATGCAACAGCACACTGATTTTCATGCAGCATACACGGTGATCGTCCCTTGTCTGGTTGCTAGGCTGGCAGTTATGTAGGGCCACCACTTGCACCCTCTCAGCTTGGAAGAGTTCAGAGGGCCTACTCCCATCCTGAAAGTCACACCCTCGTTCCTGGATAAAGCAACCAACGGCTAACTGTCGACTAATTCTGCATGTCTTCACGCCAACAAGACTGCGCCATCGTTAATTCTGCAGCCTGCATTGCTCAGACAGTCGATATTGGCAGTCACCTCTGCCGCATTCCCGATGCAAGCATTCTTGGCTTTGATCGGTACAAGAAACTTATCGTTCTCGAGAGGGGTTCGTTGGGGTTGCTTTCTTTGAAATAAGCTCAATCGACTCAACACGGACAGGCACCCGGTAAGGCTTGAAATCACCCGGAACAGCGTTCCCCAGCAAGGGCCGCTCCCGCAGATAGTGGCGCTTTTGTAGCAGGAACTACCCCCTACCGGCAATGCACCGCGCTGATCCGCGTCTCGACTTGGGTGCTGCTTATTGGCGGAGAGTTCCCCTGGAAAAAGCCCTGAGATAATGTCCTTCTCTACCCAGTAGCCAGTCTGACACCACCTGTGTCAGCTTCTGGTGTTGTTCTTTGACATGTAAGGGTTTCCTAGGGGTCTCCCAAGCTTAAGCTCGTCATTTGACGCTGGCCGAATCCTCAAATACGGATTGTCGGACAAGGTTTGGAAGACCAGGGTCCATGCAGCCTCCCTGGTCCACCTACCCAGGTATTGTTGCTGTTGCTCGAACTCTGTGGAGAACCCCGAGCAAGATCCAGGGTATGGGCCTCTCAGGTTTGAACTCCTCGAAGTCAACATGTGCGGCATGCTAGCAAAGCCGCGGTAGGAAATCAGGCTAACTTCAAGCCCTGGCTCTTTCACACCTTTCACACCCTTCGCGCCTGCCTCGTCAAGCTAGTGTGAGGAGACAACACTCGTCTCGCTACGAGGTTACCATGTGTGAAAGCCAATACATGCTCCCGATAGGAGAACAAGGAAGACTCAAGTACCGCACACCCGCGCCCATATCTGTTCGGTCTTCTCCTGCGCAGGCGGTTCTTTCTTTCGCGTCTGTTTCACAAAGTTTCTTCACCCTTTTTCCTGTACATCGTCGCCAGTCATCGTCAAAATGACCGTGTACAGTTCAGATGCCGCTGCTTTGGAGGCAGCAGGAAAGAAGCAGGTGTTGAAGGTAAAGCCGGCTCCGCAAATGCGCTTCGTCGTCTGTCGCTAACTTCTTTCGACAGCGAGAATGGAACTTCTGGGCCTTGCTGGGTATGTCAGCATGCACT